TTTCCAAAAGAAGTCACATTCTCAGTACCTAGCAGAGGGCAAGTGAAAATTCCATCCAGGAGAGATAAAAAGGAGTTATTTGGGCTGGAAGGAAGACAGGCAAGTGAGATCCAGGGTGTGACCACTGGGGAGGGTGCCATGAGTCTAGAGCCAGTTTGAGGGATCAGGCTTTGGAATCTAGGTCACTTGGGTTTGGATCCTAGCACTGCCACTGGCTGTGACCTTGGACAAGTCAGTTTAACTTCCCTAAGTCACAATCAACCCATCTGTAAAATGGATATAAAGAGCTGTCTACAACAAAATGTTGTTGGAAGGGTTAAGCAAGTTGCTAAATAGAGCACTTAGCACAGTGCTTGACATGAGAGTGACCTCCAAAGAATAGATGGCGGGGGTGCAGCTCAGTGGTAGGTCATGTGCTTAATATGGAGAAGGCCTGGGTTCATTCCCCAGCAGCAAATAAAGGAATAGAGCTTACTCTTATTTTCTTTTAATAAAGGCGCTTGTGTGTAGCCTGAGATGGCCACTATTCATCTTCCTCCATTAGGAGGCAGCATTGCAAATAACTGAGTGAATGGTTTAGCCAGTCCATCTGTGACCATCTGGAAAATTCTTCCCTCCACTGGCCTCTGAGCATTGGACCTGAGATTAGGGCAGTTGGGGAGGTTTTTCTGCCACTCTTTAGCTGCATTACTATTTCTGACTTTTTTTTTTTTTTTGCAGTACTGGGGTTTGAACTTAGTACACCATGAGCCACTCTGCCAGCACTTTTTTGTGAAGGTTTTGAACTATTTGCCCTAGCTGACTTCAAACCATGATCCTCCTGATCTCCTCCTCCTGAGTAGCTAGGATTACAGGTGTGAGCCACAGATGCCTGGCTTATTTCTGACTATCTTACTTCAAGCTACTGGGTCCATTGGGCATACTGCCAACCACAGGCCTGGGCAGAGGAAGGGGTTTGGGAAAGTATGTGATTCTCCAACCAAATGCTCAGCGGTTTCGTTTGTTCAGTGTTGGTTCTTTGGGTTTGTTTTTTTTTTTTTTATCAGAACTTTATTGGTAAGATCACTTTTGTACTTTGAAGTCTCACTTTGGCTTCAGAGTAGAACAAGTGCAGAAGGGAACAAGAATAATGAGAAATCTGTAGTCAGTCCACAACGGTGGATTGGTCTAGGGTAGTGGCGAGGAGAGAGGGCTTATTTTTTTTAAGGGAAATATTTCATTGCACTACAGGTGAAAAAGAGCCCACTTTTAAATCTGTTTTTTTTCTCTAGTAACAAGGCAAGCAGAACTAATTATTACTAATCTGAATTAAAGTATTCTTGCTAACAATAACAAAAGAATAACCCAATTAAAAAATGGGCAAAGGACTTGAGGATACATTTCTCCAAAGGATCTATCTATGCAAGTGAATAATAAGCCCGTGAGAAGATGCTCGACCTCACTAATCATTAGGAAGTACTGAAAACCTCAGTGAGACCACTTTGCAGCCTTTTCCAACAGCTTTTACCTAAAAGAGGAAGAAAGAAAAGGAAAAAGAAAACGTGTTGGTGGGATGTGGAGAAATTGGAAGGCTTGTACTTTGCTGGTGAGGAGGTGAGATGCTGCAGCTGAAGAATAGAGTCTGGCAGTTCCTCAAAATGTTAAACAGAGTTACCAGACACTCTGGCAATTCCACTCCTAGGCATCTATGCAAAGCAATTGAAAGCAAGGACTTGGACAAATTTCTTTTTTTGATGGCACTGGGGTTTGAACTCAGGGCCTCACACTTGCTAGGCAGGCACTCTTAATGCTTGAGCCCACTCCACCAGCCCCCCTCCCTTTTTTTTTGTGATGGATTTTTTTGACCTAGGGTCTGGGGAGCTATTTGCCAGGGGCTGGCTTTGAATCAAAATCCTCCTGATCTCTGCCTCCTGAGTAGCAGAGTAATAGGATTACAGGCATGAGCCACCAGTTCGGACAATCATTTATACACCTGTGTTCATTAGCAACATTATCCACGGTAGTCCAAAGATGGAAGCAACCCAACTGTCCATCAATAGCTGCAGATAAATCAATATGGAATATACATACGATAGAGTATTATTATTCGACCTCAAAGAAGAATGACATTCTGATCTATACATCAGCATAAGTGAGTCTTGAGGACATTATACTAAGTGAAATAAGCCACTCACAAAAGAACAAATATAAGCTGGAGGTGTGGCTCAAGTGGTAGAGCACCTGCCTAGCAAGCTCTGAGTTCAAACCTCATTATCAGAAAAAAAGACAGATATTGTCTGCTTCCCTTATATTTATATGAGGTACTTCGAGTAGTCAAATCCATAGGTTCAGAACGAATGGTGGTTGCTGGGAGCTGGGGGCAGGGTGGAATGGTTAGTTAGTGTTTAATTGGAGTTTCAGTTTAGGAAGATGAAAATTCTGATGGATGGTGGTGATGGCTGCACAACAATGTGACTGTACCTACTGCCACCACTGGTCCCTCTGCTTGTATCTTACTGTTTGTTTAGTGAGCTGCCATACGGGAAGGGCTTCAGTTGCATTTTTGGGCAAAGTCCTAACATCAGCTGTGGAAATCACTCTACCATGGAGGATTTTCCCAATGTCATCCTCACAGTTGGAGAGGAGCTATTTCCTGGGGAGAAGATAGGGAAGCTGAATATGAAGCATGTACTGGGTTTGGGGAGATGACCTGGTAGGGTTCCATGGAGGGAATGAAAAAGGAACAAAGACATCAGTTGTGCAGTCTTCAGCCACTTCTTGGCAGCCACTTCTGTCTCCATCTGCAAGTGGCCCTCACTGGTCCAGCTTAGCCACTTCCTGGGTTGAATGAGGAGGGTGGGAAAGTTCCACTCATTCCTTGGACCTGCTGCTGTCCCTCCATCAAGTCCCCCATTCCTACCAACAATACCAGGAAGGTGTCCCACCACCAGCCCACCCATGACCTTTGCAATGCTTATTCTTTTTTCTTCCTCCTTCCTTCCTTCCTCTCTCCTTCCCTCCCTCCTTACTTCCTTTCTTCTTCTTCTTCTTCTCTCTCTTCCCCCCTTCCTTCCTTCTTTCCCTTTTGTTTTTTCTTTCCTTTTTTGAGACAGAGTCCTGCTATGTATAGCCCAGGTTGACCTGCAACTCACCATTCTCCTACCTCAGCCTTTGTAGTGCCGGGATTACAGACATGTACCACCATGTTGGCTGCACAAGTTCAGTCTTACCCAGTGGCATTTCTAGAGAGCTCAGCTTACTATCAGGCTGAAGACAGATGTGTGAGTGACAGTTCCCCCACATCCCACCCCCACCCCCACCCCCACCCCCAGGATAGTCTCCCCTGCTCATTTAGCCTCCCTGCCACCCTTCTCTGATCCCTCTGCCGTTCCCCTGCCTCTCCATCACTCCTAGATACTCTGCTCTCTCTTCTGTTTACTTCAGTGCCCACTCACTCTCACGACTCAACCTACTTTGCTTCCATTTCAGTCTCTTCTTTGTGGCAAAGATTGAGAGCTGGAGGAGGACGGAGGCCCCCACGTGAGCAGTTGGCTTGGTCACATACATTTCTTCTCTCAGATTCCTCCTTGGAGGACTGGGGTGCAAGGATGAAGGGGGCTGGTCAGGGGGAGATAGACTCCAAGGAAACCTTCCCATAGACAAATTAGATGTAGGAAAGCCTCCTCCAAACTAGTGGTTAGGAGTTGGGTCTTGTTGTATTTGCCTCAAGACCCTAAGAGTCTTGCTTGTTGGTTTGTTTTTTGAAACAGGGACTGGCAATGTGGTCCAGGCTGGCCTCAAACTCGAGATCCTTCTGCCTTAGTGTCCTGAGTCCTGGAGTTACAGGCATGTGCCGTTGTGTCCAGCTTCCTTTAAGAATCTTTTTTTCTTTTATTAGAAATGTGTCTAGACTAAACTTAGAGCTTACCTATGGCAGCTAGAGGCCCTACTGTTAGTGAAGAAAGAGAACTAACTGCAGGTCAGGAAATACTACCACTAATGAGGATAATGAAAAAAGCTCCCCAGGACCCAAGGAGACTGCCCAGAAGTTTTTTAAGCCGCTTCTGCTGCAACTCCACAGTGAAAAATGACCAGCAAGAAGAGGAATGGGCTGTGCTTATGCACTGCTTTAAGGATGCTTCTGGGCAATTTGCTCCCACTATCTCATTAACATCTGCCAAGCGGCACGCTGAGGACTCCCAGCTCCTGGCCCCTCTCAGAGACGGAGCTGAGAAGCTGTGGCTGCCTCCCAGTGGCCCATGCTGTCATCTGCTCAAGGTGCCCAGCAGATCCTAGCTGCAGCAAACTGAGACCAGCTCAGGCTGCCCCAAGGGCCACTCACCCTGCAGCTGGTGACTCAGCTGGAGAGGTGGGGGTGGGACTTGGAGCCTGAGGGGCCAACATTGGTGACAACGGAGTCCAAGCCAGGAAGCTGAGAACCCAGAACAAGATCAGCAGCAGAAATGCAATCTAATGAATTCACAATAATTCTATTCGTGCTACAGATTCCTCTAAACCCCACAGGTTTAGAAAAATAGACCTCCTACATTGAGCTCCTAAAATGCAACCCAAATCAAAGTCTAAATGCCAAGCCAAGTGACCTCTCTTTTGTATGCGACTCACCCCACACCAAAGCCTGAGCAATGAAGCCAGAGCGTCTGGAGGGTGTGGGCGGAGATTTTCCTTTATTCGTGTTGATTCTGGAGAGGAAGGAGGAGAGCGATAAGATGATGCCAACACGTCAGGCACTGAACTGACCCCTCACATGCAGAACACATGGCCACTCGCTCTGGATCAGCCACCAGTGCATGTGCCCCGTGAACAGAATGCTCCCACAGCTGCAAAAGCCCTCCCTTCCAGTTTTTATTAGTTTCAAGACCCCCCACCCCAGGTCACCTCGTCATTCTCAGTAATCTTATCTTTCAGCAAATTGGGCTTTTACTCCCGTGGGTGCAGAGCCCCACCCCCCCAATATAAACATGCATCCCCTAGAATTAAAGGGAAATTGACATTGAGACGGCATGCTTCGGTTTTCATCATCCACCAGCTTGGGAGAAAGGCTGCCCCCTATAATACCAATGAGAGATGGGACAGAGCATTCGGGCCATGCCACACTGCCTGTCTTCCCAGAGCCCTGGGCAACATGGCCCCAGCTGCCCACCCCCTGGCCCTACTGCATTTTAAACCCAGCTAGGCACCTTCAACCTCTTCCCTTGGGAAAAAGACATATGGGAGCAAACAGCTCAATGGAACCGTCAAGCCAACATTTTCTTCTCGCTCATCTTTTCTTTCACCTCAAGCTCTCATCCTACTCCCCCAAGTGGATTTCTGATGTTGGAAGCCCCCCAGCCTGGCTCTAAGCTCCCCAGCAATGTGGGCCCTACGAAATGTACTTAGTTGCAGCAACCATTCACCCACAAGCCTCCCTGCATCCCCCCCCCAGGGCAGCCTGCAGTTTTTCTCAGCATTTCTCCCCATGGCTTGATGTGGTGACCTGACTTGGAGGTGTCCAGGTGGCAAGGGAAATTTCAAGTGCCTTTGCTTTCTGTCCTCTCCTCATCAGCTGTCTGAGCGTTGCTGACTGCGCGAGGCTGTCCCTGCGCCGCAGGCTTCACTGACAGGACCAGGCGTTTTCGGAATGTCTCGCAGAGCACAATGTACACAAAGGGGTTGAGGCAGCTGTTGGCATAGCCCAAGCTGATGGCTGCATTGTACAGGTAGACAAACGTGAGGGTCGGGCGGCTGATGGACAGCTGGGTCAGTTGCAGCACATAGTAGGGTGCCCAGCACACAAAGAAGACAAGGCAGATGGCAATGGCTGTGCGTGTCACCCTCTTTGTCCGCAGCCGGATGCTGCGTTGAGAGGCTGGGGCCACTGAAGACGTCATGCGCTGCAGAATCCTCACATAGGCAGCAGTGATGACCACGAAGGGCAGGGCAAAGGCCAGAAAAAACTGGTACAGGGTGAACCAGTAGAGGTCAGTGTCTGGGTTGGGCAGGCGGATGCCGCAGCCCACGGTGCCCCCCGGGAAGGGGATGAGCCTAGCATAGAGCCACACTGGGGTGATGCTAATGAAGGAGAGGGCCCACAGGAGGCAGATTACCAAGGTGGCCACTGAAGGCTTCCGGAACTTCGTGGAAGAGATGGGATGCACAGTGGCCAGGTAGCGGTCAATGGCCATGGCAGTCAGGATGTAGGTGCTGGTGAACTGACTGTTGGCATCCATGGCAGTGATGAGGGTGCACATAGTCTCTCCAAAGTGCCAGACCCCATTGCCCATGAGCTGGTGGATCATGAAGGGCATGCCCAGCAGAAAGAGAAGGTCTACCACGGACAGGTTGATGATGAAGATGTCGGGGACATTGCTGCACCAGTGCAGCTTAGACTTCTTCACCACTGCGAAGATGACCGTGGAGTTGCCTACAATGCCCAGGAGGCAGATGGTGCCAAACACCGAAGGCATGATGATGTTGATGTAGGAGACACTGCCCGTGCGAGAAGGCATCCCTGGGGACAGAAGGAGGAAGTGTAGACCGTGTGACATGCCCTCTTGCTCTAGGGCCTGGCATCCTGCTGTTCTGATCAGTCTCCGGTCACCCTCTTCCTTCCCTTCCATCTTCCCTACTATTTCAGCTGGGGCCACCATTCATCTGAAATTCTCTCCCACCACCTTCCCTCCCCTGGCTCTCCTCCACTGTTCCTTGGTAAATCCTACCAGAGTCTCCCGAGCCACCTGTTAGTTGAAGGACCTGATCCTTTGGCTCCCACATTTACTCTGAAGGCGCAGAGTCAAGACCTACATCCATCTGCTGAGAATTACTCTGCGGGTCCCTGGCTTCACCCAGAAACTTCGTCAAAGAAGCCAGAAGGAACATGGAAGTGTGAGTGTTGGGCAGGGTTTTTTCCTCATTTGCAGCCTGATCATTTCATTTTAGAGATCATTGGCTGGAGGCTGTGTACTGGTTCCTGGACATCTCTGTGGGCGACTGTCTTGTAAAGGATTTTACAGATGGTACCCGGGCTGACAAACCCTCCTGACACCAGATTTCCTGTACGGGATCTCCTCGGTCAGGGTCTCCTGAGCCTGGGCTTCCCAACCAGGGCAGAGACCGAAACTGAGTGTTGCAGCCCTGCAGTCTGAAATTTTTCTCCATACAAGCCCTTCCTTTTTTCCCTTCCTTCTCTTCTCCTTCAAAGCTAGGATCGCAGGGCACTGCGGTTCTGGAAATGTCAGGAAGCTTAATTCAGCAGAAAAGTTAATCCCCTCAAGCTCTGTGAAGTCTTCCCTCTGCCTCTGCCAGGAGGCAATGAGGACGTTTCAGATCCCATTACCCCAGTGCCAGTAAAGAGCAGAGGGTAGCGGTGAATGAACGAGCCTCCAGCAGTCCCCCACCTACTACCTGCCAGCTTCTGCTTGCTTTTCCTGCCTGGATTTTTTTTTTTTTTTCAGCAAAGCATATTTGTAACTCATCAGCAAGTCTTCTCCTGTCTGCCACACAGCTAGCCACCATCCCTTGCCACTTCTGAATGTGCCTCTGCCCTCATCTCTGCACCTGCCCCTTCTGCCCAGCGCGTCCCTGTCCCCATTTCTTCTTCCCTTCCAGGCAAAGCCGACTGCAGATCTGCTTCCCCAAGAACTGTAAAATAAAGTTTCCCAAGCAGTTTGGCTTGGGTGGGGTGAAACCTTCCCATTTTCCACCCCCATCCCAGAGGAGGGAGGATTCCCCTCCAAGTCGACTCACCGGCCGAGGTGATGTTATCCGGCCCATCAGAGGTGTTGCTGGCATTGGGGCCAGTGGACAGCAGTGAGGCTCGCAGGTCCATGGAGCCGGTGCGGGTCGCCTGCTCCCCGGAGTTGAGCTCCGTCCACCCACGCAGGCTGCGGCAGCCTCCCGCGCCCGCTGCCGCTTCGTCCCGGAGCGCGAGCCCCGCAGTCGGGAAGGGGGTCCCCTCGGCAGCCTGGCAGCCTCTGCTGCCTCCAAGCCCAACTGCTCTCCCCACTCCCTCCTTCCCGGCTCCCACTGACATCACCTAAACACATTAACATTCGGAGGCAGATGCGCGTTAACCTCTTCCATCCGGGATCCCGCTTGTGCCAGCCAGCAGAGCCGAGGGGCTGGGCTCAGGCGGCCCGGTGGGGAGGGGACTTCCTTCCCACTGGCTCTTGGGGCTGCCGGCCGAGCACAGGGGCGGCTGCTTGCTTTGCATGAGGATCGAGGTCTCTGCAAAGGCAAAGGGAAAGAGCGAATGGGCTGCCTCCCTTTGGGAGATTGGGCCACGCTGCAAGTGCCGGGGGACTATTGCCAGAGCTTGGGAATCAGAGGCTTGGACTGTAGCACACTTGACCCCTTGCACTGCAAGTCGCCCTTGACCTCTTCCCTGTGCCCTGATGGATTCCCAACATCTATTTAGACGGTGGGCTGCTGAGCCCTTGTCTGCGCTCAGAGATGATTCAGGTCACTGCATGCTGGCAATGGCCAAGGCCTGGGGGACCAGAAGGGACAAACTCCAGTCTGCCTGGACCTGGCTTACAGAGGTTTTTATTTTTCTAGATGCTCTGAGGTCTTTGAGATTTTACCTGGGACTTTCTGAGATGAGTATCAGAGCATGAGAGTGTAAGTACCAGAGATGTCAACCAGGAACCGGGTACCAGAGGGTACAGACACTAGTGAAAGCCAAGACCTGTCACCACACCACAGCCAGCCTCAGTCCTTAGTTGCCACAATTGCCTGTTAACCCTCATCAGCTGGCCCAGAAGCACCAAGCGCCATCCCTGTATTCCCCTGAGGTCATACTCTTCCTTGGTAGCAAGGCTAGTTCTTCATGCTAAGTAGAGTCCCTTGTCCCTAACAGCTATCATTATCCCTCCACTCTTGGCCTCTTGAGCTACCACCATGAGAAACCTAATAAAAGCAGATAATAGTTCAGTTTCAGATCCAGTGGAACTTTACTGTGTCTCTAGTTGAGTCCCCCACCCCTTCCCGATGTGATATGACTTGTGCATCCCTTTCCCTGTTAGCGAAGGGGGTGTCCTCTAGGCTTCCTAGAAGACTGAGCTGGCATGTTCATAATAAATCCTGTTCTAGCATTCCACTTCCCTTTGTCTTCTTTCTTTCTCAAAGCTCTGCCAAGTACCAAGGGCTAGAGGAGGGGGACAGTTGGGAGTTACTGTTTGTTGGGCATTGAGTTTCTGTTTGGAAAGTTCTAGAAATGGACAGCAGCAATGATTACACAACATTGTGAATGTGCTTAATGCTGCTGAATTGAACACTTGAAAGAGGGTAAAGGCCACTCACGCCTGTAATCCTAGCTACTCAGAAGGTAGAGATCAGAAAGATCATGGTTCAAAGCCAGCCAGGCAAACAGTTTGCAAGACCCCATCTGGAAAATATCCAATACAAAACAGGGCTGGCAGAGTAGCTCAAGTGGTGGAGCACCTGCCTAGTAAGCGTGAGGCCTCAGTGGTTAAGGGGCTCACCGGGAGAGCAGTTGCAGAGCATATGTGAGGCCCTAGGTTCAACCCCCAGCACCAAAAAACAAAAAGCAAGGTATGGTGGTGCATGCGATCCCAGGACTCAGGGGCCGAGATAGGAGGATTGAGAACGGTCTGAGTAGCCTATTTTATGCCATGTGTATCTCCCACAATATCAAAGTTAACTGGGTCTGTAGAGTGGCTCAAGTGGTAGAGTGCCTGCTGGGCAAAACATGAGGACCTCAGTTCAAGTCCCAATATAGCGAAAAAAAAAGCGATAAACCTTATGTATATTTTATCACCCCTCAAAAAACCCAAAGCTCTGTCCAGGCAGTCCCATCATCCCCATATTACTGCAAACCATTTCCTAATACCCCCAAAGCATGTTCGGATTGGTCCAGGTGATCTTCCAGGATGTCACATCTCAAGTTTCCCTGTCACATAACTCTCTTCTTCAACCTTGTATTTACATCATGGTCTAGCACTCTCAAGATCTACTCCCACACACATTCCCTTTATTTCTCCCAGCCAACACTAGCTAGGTCCTGGTGAGCAACTCTTTCTCCAAAAGCAGGGCCAGTCTTTCCCTCTGCACTGACATCTGACCTCAGTCAGTGGACCAAAGGCAATGAGAGGAGATGAAGGAGACATCTGAAGAGCACAGAGGTCTTCTTGCAAGGTATATATGCAGTTGAATCCTAACATGATTTTCACACGAGGGTAGAATGTCATTCTTTAGAACTAAGGGAAGGGAGACGGTTGCCTGGAGTGTTTCAGGGGTTTGAAGGAATCTGGGGGTTCCATATTCTCAAGTTCACCTCCATGTCCCCTCCTAGACTTCAGGGTTCCACTCCTTTTCTATCAGGGCCTGACTTTAGCATTGGAAATTGATTAAGGCTGTACATAATCCATCTTTTTTGCAACTCGGCTAAACTTGCAATTAGATTTGGGGTTTAGGGTCTTATTTTCAGCACAGTCTTCCCTGTCACTAGAGAAAATGAGGGTCTCTTTTAATTGCTGCTTTGTATGTCTTCTGGATTTCATTTTGCATCTTGAATTGATAGCTGGCTATTTGGCTCTGCTATTTTCTTTCTTCCAGGCTCCCAAAGCAGTTAACAAAACCCAGCCAGCTGGATAGTCCTTATAATTACCACAGCTCCTACGCTGTACAAGTCTAGAGTTCAGTGCTTCCTTTTCCACTTGTACTCATCCCAGTCACCCACGGGTGGGACTCTATCATTGTGCTCCTACTGCTAGGATTGTTAACACCCTGTTTACTACCAGCAGTGGGGTCCTGTTGACTTCTGACTGATAATTGATAACATTTGAGAATCTCATCTTGGGGGTCTGCTGTCTACTATGACTCCTGGTACCATTTTTCTTAGTTTTATTTCCTCTAAAAGTAGAGCCTGAGACAAGGACTTCTGTGCAAGACTACATTCTGAATGCGATTGTAAGCGGCACGGGGAGAATGAGTCAGGGACAAAGGAAAGCCAGTATAAGGATCTATCACCAAGTTTATGGCTGTGAACAAGGACTCAATTTATTCAGACCTTCCTGGGAAGTTTAAGAATGTCTCTAAGACCTGGGTGCCAGTGGGTAGGCCTATAATCCTTGCTACTTGGAAGTATGAGACTAGGAGTATCATGGTTCAAGGCCAGCCAAGGCAAATAGTTCCTTAGACCCTATATCCAAAAAAATAACCAGAACAAAATGGATTGGAAGTGTGGCTCAAGTGGTAAAGTGTCTCATTTGCAAGCGCAGAGCCTTGAGTTCAAACCCCAGTTCTACCCCTCCCCCCAAAAAAAAAATCTCTCAGAAGGCTGGGAGCACCGTTCAATGGTAGAGCACTTGTCTAGGACCCAGGTTCTCTCCCCAATAAATGAGTCAGAACCATCTACCTGAGGGACAGTAAGAGTTGAAGTTGGGTTTATTGATTCTTATCCCATTGGTTGAGACTGTTCCCCCGGGACATTAATCCTGCATTTCTGGACCGTGCTTGTGCTAGAGCCAAAAGGTCTCCCAGGCTGGGGATATAGCTCAGTGGTTTAGTGTTTGCCTTGCATGCATGAGTTCAATCCCCAGTACCACAAAAAAAAAAAAAAAAGGTCTCCCACAGCCTCAGAGAAGTATGGGGTGGAGAGCAAACAGACACAAGGTGCACACCTGAGAAAAGACATGCTAGCACAAGATGAGCTGAGCCCACACACACTGCCTAATGCAGCTGCAGCTGAAGCCAGAGGTGGCTAAGGGGAATATGGCAGGAATTCTGGAAGCATCTGATAGAGGCTACTACAATAATCCTAGTGAAGGGTGACTGGGGGACTAGGGGGTGCAGTGGGGGAGAAATGGTGGGGCCTAATACAATATGTGGAGCTCAAAAGGTTGCTGAAAAGTTGGATGGAAAATCTGAGAGAGATGGAGGAATCAGGGATGACTCACAGGTTTTTGGCCCAAGCCAAAACAGCATTGTCATTTATTTACAGAAGTCTTTGGAAGCAGAAGGTTTGGAGAAGTTGAGTTCTGTTACATGTTGAACATATAACATTTAAGATCCCCATTAACATCTAAGTGGGAGTGGTGACTAGTTGAGTATAAAACTCAGAAGTTTAGGCCAGGCTCACAACTATAATCTCAGCTACTCTAGAGGCTAAGATTGGGAGGATCAAGTTTCAAGGCCAGTATGGGCAAAAAGTTAGCTTAACCCCATCTCAACAAAAGATCTGGACATAGTGGTGCATACCTGTCATCCTATCTACTCAGGAGGCATAAGTAGGAAGATTGCAGCCCAGGCAAAACACAGAACTGACCCTAAAATTAAATAAGGCAAAAAGGGCTATGGGAATGGCTCAAAGCAGTAGTACACCTGCCTAGCAAGCACAAGCCCTGAGTTCAAACCCCAGTGCCTCATTCCAAAGTTTACAGACAGTGGAGCCTGCTGTCCACTTCTACATGCTATGGATGTCCCACCTCCAGCCAGCCAGCTGACAAGTATGAGCACTGACTAGGTATGGGGCACCATGCTAGGCCATGTGGATACAGCGAGGAAAATCAAACATCTAATATCATGGAGTTTGAACTAAAGAGGGGAGAGAGATGATGACAAGCAAGCTAAAAAGCAAACAAGGTGTTCTATGTAGAGTTCAAATCCAGACAAAGCTATGTAACTTACTCAAAAGGGATTTGTTTGCTTACAAAATCATGGCTCTGGATTTGGACCATCCCCGCCATCTGCACCTGCAAAGTAACTGAGCCTGACCAGAGGAACTTAAACCAGAACTGGACAGCCAGGGAAGCTGGCAAGTGTGGGTTTTGGAATCTTGGTCTTGCTAGGAGAGGTATATGGGATGAACACTGAACAAGTCAATCCATACAGCCACTGATTACTGATTGCTGTAAGTGTTGTTCTAAAAATGAATGGGGTGATGGGAGTGACTGGGGATGAAGGAGTCCTGCAGAGAGGGGAGTTAAGGACATCCTCTGTGCTCGGACAACATCCTCAATGTCCATCTCATTGCAAATGATGTATTTAACTGAATCAGTCAGCAGCACACCTATCCCCTTGCTATTTTAGAGGTGGGCATGTCTGGTGGACACCCATGTGCATCTCCTCAGCCTCTTGGCCACTCCTCATCATTATTCCAACCATTGCTGCAGCTGTGCACAGACACCAGTGAAATACAGGTATAGAAATAAGTGCAGGTGTGACCCCTGTGCTGCGTCTTAGACCTGCAGTGTGTGCCTTTTACCCTCCATCCTGGGTCTTCTCTGTTGCTGCCACAGCTTAGAATATGGGAACCCTGAAATACCCATGCACTAGCTACCCAGAAAGCAGGGAGAGAATGCTGTCCTTGGACCAATGGTGGGGGAAGCCACAGATAGATGTTTTCCCCTTGGTCCCCAGTACCTGGTCTCTTGTCTTTGTGCCAATTGGAAATC